ATGGAATACTACAAAGTTAATATCCAAATATGTATGACATGTCTTCTTCCGATCTAGTTGCAGCTGTTGTAAGATGTTGAAAAAGTTAGCTGGGAGTCAACCTGTATTGACTTGCCATCTAATTTTACTACAGGCTTTGTAGTGAGTGTCACTGCTTGCTGGGATCTTTTAAAAGAATACTCCATCACATTTTTACCAACCATTTTTTGTAAGACTTTTGATCCAATTTCTTTTGCATTATAAACATTTACAGATGAATCAGATGCCACACCAGTTTCAATATTGCATAATGAGAGATCTTGAATAAATGGATTTCTTTCTAGTAGAAAAGATAGGAGTACGTTTGTGTCTTTGTATTCCCTTTCCTTCCTGGTTTGGCCACACTCTTTGTGTTGACTACTTGTGTAATAAACAGTTCCACTGAAATTCTGCATAGTGTTATTTGCCTCTGCACACGAGGGCAATGAGAGTAACCACTGAGCTCGTTGTGTTTCTGTCATACTCTTTCCTCTAGTCATGCCTCCATTTGTCTTCACGCTTCTCATTAAGACTTGCTCGATAATAAGATCCGTTGACAATCCAGCCCAATACCTATCAGTTCTACGTATAACATGATGTCCAGATTTGAAATATTGATATATCTCATTGTTGGTTATCTCAAGCTTTCCCATCAGTTCCAAATACACATATGCTGATTTCAGATATAAAGTATGTCCAGCAGATGCAAAATAAGGAAGCATTTGTGCTAGTGTTTTCTGATGAAGATCCCAATTACTTGTCCGCTCTGCTTTTATAAATATTTATAAGATATGTATCATCTCCATATAATGAGTCCAAAGAGCTGCTATTTTGTATTGTTTCAGACTCTGTTTTGTATTCAGAGACTTGCTTCTGGATTTTGTCAAGTAAGGCCATCGTAAATTTTACCTATTTCAGTAATATCATTTTCATTCTCAGACACTGCATTTTCAAAGGTGTTGTCATTGTCTTGCCCAGCCAGAACATTGTCATCAATAGATAAGTTTCTATGCTTATTTTCTGCATCATCTCTGAAAGGATTTACTGGGAGTGACACACCAAATAAATATGACACAATCATTGAATTAAAAACATTATCAACTAGAAAATGTCCTCAGATAGCTCTTGTGATTGCTTTCCCACTCATCATGTGAACCACAGAATTTGAAGTGTACACAGTTTCCAATTGTTCACTAAGACCAGATCCCTGCAACAGATGACCGATGCATCCAAGATAACTCATCGTGGTGTGGAAACCACCTAATCTTAATACAACATTGCACAGGATGCTATTTTCTAGTTCATTTAATATTACAATTAAAGCTTTCCAATACAAAGGCTGATCAAAGGTAATGACTGGATCTATCCCATACTTTGCTGCATAGTCACCGACAAACTTAAGAGCTGTGTATATACATGACATGTCACTTGGATCCATGTCAATCATGGGCATAAACACTATAGACGATTTTCCTGGGCTGACGCCTTTTTGAAGCATGTGCATTTGACCTGGCCAACCCCGCCTGACTGGCCTTACAGCATATGACAACTTGAGAAGTAGATCAAGGTTACATGTACCGTCGACCACTCTTAATTGATTAAGTTCTTCAAATATCAATTGCATTTTCGTTTCATTTCCCTTCCAGTACAATATACGAAAATCTCCAGCAGCAATAATGTCTTCTTTAGTGACATCCATTCTTTTAATAAGTAAATGACTTCTTGTTGCTGGAGTAACACATGCAATAACTCCCAGCCCATGGAATGTTCCGTAACCGTCTAATGTTCTGATATTATGGTCTACGTTGTCTGCTACGTATTGTATACAACTTCCTGGAATAAAACCGGGTATATCAATACCATGTGATACTGCGGCACATGATTCAAACTTTGAACCTCAGAATAAGAAGCACAGAATACCAGATTATTAAGTATATCTGTCAAGCACTTAGAAGCAAATTGGTGATGATGTTGGACTCCAAGTCCTATTTGAAGTGGTCCAATAATAACTCGTGGTCTAGCTGCTTGGATGATTGCTTGACCATTTGATGCAATTTTAATATCAGCATTATTCTCAATGAAAACAATTCTTAACAGTAACTTTTAGCTCTCTGTTAGAAAGTCATTGTTTTGCTCTACAGATGATATTTCTGCAGGAGAATGGTATTGTTACGCCTCCAGTCGTTAGTTCATTTTCCGTAAATTCTTTCCAAATAACTTTAACGACACAAGTCCTTTCTTAAATAAAACTGGTTTATTCTTTCCAAATAA